ATAAGATTGTTATTCAATTCATAGAATAGTAATTGACAAATGACAACGCCCCTCTAGGGTTAAAGAGAACGTTACACTAGCACACTACTTTTAAAAATAAACTGTAATATAACGGTCATTTGTTTAAGAAATAACCCTGATAAAAACTCAAATATATCTCCAAATAAAAACTCAATTAAAACTCAATAAAATATAGTTATTACTAGCAAATGTGATAACCACCTGGATCCAGGAATTTATTCAAACTTCAAATCCACAATAAAATAAAGAAATAATAATCTCTTTATTATAACAACTGAAATACTGAAATAAAAATAATAAGTAGCTAGAAGCCGCCAAGGTCGTTCCCGTTAACTCATTTTGACACGCGTTCCACTCCCTCATCATCTTCCCAGGCCTTGGCCTTACCCTTAGTATCTGTACATGCGAAGAAAGAAAATTGATAAGCTTTACGCTTAGTAAGTCACTATGGCTCCACAAAAATATCTAGAAGTCTAGGCCAATTTATCAATAGATAAATTTAGACTATAAGCATGCACTGAACACATAACTAACACATAACTTTTTCAAATTCATTCTGAGAGAGATCTCAAAAAGAAAAATAATTTCTAAAATAATTTCTCACAACTGCTGGAGAGATCTCAAAATTTCTTTCTCAAAACATCTCTGTAAACTTTCTGAAAGAAATCTCAAAAACATCTTTCTGTAAAACTTCCTAAAAGAGATCTCATTAAACTTTCTGTAAAACTCTTTGTGGCTAATTTTACTCTGTGGGCCCGTGATATGTACCCAAAGGCGCCAATCCGACAACTCAGGGGAGCGACCCACTAAACATATCGGACTCTCTGAAACTGATAAGTGATAACTCTGTAACTCTGTGGGAACTTGTTCCCTAGTACATATCACTTAATCTTTCACTTTAAGTATTAGTTCTTTTTATAGTGTCGTTTGGATAAAAACATCATTAAATCAGAAAATAAAAATACTGACAAACTCTTGAATTTGCCAGATAATAATCATAACTTAATACAACAAATAAAATAACTTAGCAAATAACTCACCAAGTTCACATAATAGCAAATAGACTAAAATCATCTATTAAAAATCAACAAGACTTCTTTCTTTTATTTGGTTGAACAAACATGTACAGGTGGTAGTGAACTTACCTGATAGAAGCTGAACTCAAACTACTCAAATAAGTATGGCACCTTGATAACGTCTTCCGGTAAGCCATTACTTGAAATCTTTATTTAGATTTAACATTATAATTAACTAAAGTTAGCTGTATCCTTAACTCAAGCACATAGCTAAAACTTTTAATATAGATTCCTACTGTTATACGCACAAATTAAAATGTGATCTTCCAATTGACTTTAAAACAAATCTTCAAATTTCGAAAATCATGTTGCAGCAGCTCATTAAATTTTTAAAAATAATTGTTTATATAAGAGAACAACTCATGTTAGAACAACTCCAAAGTTGACTGTTTGGGCGTGACTAAATCTAGTACGAACATGTATAGCATTTATATTAATCTACAACTAGTAGTTTTCTTCATATACGTGGTTACAGTTAAAGATACATATATCTCTTAGAATACTAAAATAAAAAGCAAAATAAAATGTTCGATAAATCTAGATGTCTAGGCGGCCGATTAAGCGCTCTAGGCAGGTAGTTAGGCGCCTTAATTAGGCGGCCGACTAATTCACCTAGGCGTCAAATCAATTAGTCGGAGCGCCTAGACTAAAATCGGGGCGCCTGATTATCGTCTAGCGCCTAGGCGGGGACTAGTCGGGCGCCTAGAACGATTTTTAGAACCATGTTGACAACTATGTAGATTCCTGCCAACTAAAAACAATTTTTAGAACGATTTTTAGAGATTTTTTTAGATTAGAATCTACTAGTCAACTAAAAACAAAATTGATTCAGGCCAATATAATTAATTTCGGTCTCTAAGTCTTCAAAAAAATGCCTCTAACCCAACTGAATTATAACATTCTACTTTCAATAATATACTGATAAAATCTAAAATACCATTTATATATTTATTCACATTAAGTATTAGAGCTTACCGTCAACGTTTTCTGCCACAAAAAAAAACAAATGATAACACAAGACAAAATAACAAATCATATTATTCAGGAATTAAATTATTTACCAGCTAAGTAACTTATTTAACTCATCCAATCATAATATAACTCATATAACTAACTCACAAAAATTGGGGTGTTAAAAACTATCCACTTTACAATCGTCATCCTTTCAAATTATTAGTGTCTGAGACACTAATATTCAAAATATGAATGTGGTTCGTCACGATGTTTTGTGTATATGGAAAATTGTTAAGATTCAGAGATTCATCATAAAGGTCAACAATATGAGAAGTAACTAAAAGCTTTATATAATGTTCAATAGTTTTATAGTTTTCTGCTGTGTGACAAACACTTAATGACAGTTTAGTTGTTTTATTTCGCTTTTGATTACTTTTTTGTCCAACTTAGAAAGTAGTCTTTTGCAGTTTTCCACAAGAGCTCCATAATAATGTTTCGACCATTATTTCTTTAATAATCCAATTTCACTATTCAACAAGACAAATAAAATACAAAGAACACTCCAAAATGAACCATGCATGAATTATACGGAGTATAGTACTACGTAATTTTGAACTAGATCGAAGATCGTTTCATACTTGTAACTTGCAAGAGTTGTCAAATTAGTGGAGCAAGTGAACTGGTGATAGAGAAGAGCAATACTTGTGTTAGTTTCAAGGATCGTGCACTCTCAAGATGAGGGGAGAGTTTGCAAAAATTAAAATTAAAAAGTGCTTTCCCCTTTTGACTTAAAAATCTTAAATGAGTATGTTCAAATTATGACTAATGCTGACTTATGTTCTTAAAAGCTAAAAGTAAAAAACAGGTGGATAGATTTTTTAAATTGTTTTTCCTTTTTCTATTACTAAAAGATCTTTATTTTACCAAACACTCTTAGTTTTTACTTCTTAAGAGACACTCTTTTCTTAACATTATCAATTTTTTCTATCAATCACATTCTCCAAACTAAAAAAAATTATAAAAGCAATCACAAACATTCTTTACCTCCATTTTTACTGAGTACTATGTTTCAATCGAGGATAGGCCATTTGGTAAAAGCTATTGGACTAATATGGTTGGATCTACTTATTTATGTACCTTTTTTCTTCATAACCACACAAATGCCAAGTCCATCTAAAGCTACGTATCATTCGATTTAACCTTTGTCCTTGGCATTCGATTTAACGCAAATGCCAAGAATCATCAACTATTAACTGATTATTCAAGTTAAATGACATATATGAATGTGGTTCCTCATCATGTTTTGTGTATATGGACAGTTGAGTTGTTTTATTTCATTTTTTATCACCTTTTTGTCCAACTTAGAAAGTAGTCAAGATGCAGGGAGGGTTTGCGTTTTGACTTAAAAAATTGAAATGAGTGTTTTAAAATGAAGGCTAATGCTTAACTTATGTTCTTAAAAGTTACTGGGTAAAAGATTAAAGCAGGTGAATTGATCTTTTAAATTGTTTCACGTTTTCTATTACCAAAAAACCGTTATTTTACCAAACACTCTAAGTTTTTACTTTTCAGAAACACTCTTTTTTTAAACATTATCATTTTTACTATTAACCACATTCTCCAAACTTAAACAATCACTTTTTTAAGTAGAAGTGCAATATTCTTCCTCAGACCTCCATTTTTACTGTTTCCATTGAGGGTAGGCCATTTGGTAAAAGCAATTGGATTAATATGGTTGAATCTACTTATTTTTGTACCTTTTTTCCTTCATAACCACACAAATGCCAAGTCAATCTAAAGCTACGTACCATTCGATTTAACCTGCTTATTAGAAGAATCAGCATTCAACAACTATTAACTGGTTACTCAAGTCAAATAACATACTACTATTTTTTTGAAGGAAAAGCTGCTTATTATATCAATCAAACTTGTCAAAAACGTACCTCCCCTTACAAAACCAGACTCCTCAATCAAAACTCTAAGAGTACTTCCTCCCTTGCAACGTCAAACCTCCTCGTGAGGTTCCGCATAGCCCAAAGGCCCTCCCACTCTCTGGTTAGACTTAGAATAGACCACCCCAAAAAGAGCGAGACTATTCGCGAACCATGTGAGAGTTTCGAAGCTTTTAGCGGCCAAACAAGCCTTATCGCTTCCACCCAGATTAACAACCCAAACCAAACAAGAAATAACATACTACTATTAAAAAACATGTTTCAAATTTTAAAATGTACAGTAACAAATTCGACATGTTTAACAAGATAACATTTAATCACCAAATCAACTTCAAGGGTATGTTTGGTTATATGCGGAATGAGAATGACAACGAATTTCAATTTTCAAAGCAAATCAAACCCAGAGCCCCATCCCCCAATCGGAACAAAAAATAAGAAATCAAACCAATAAAGAACACTTTCAAACACAATCAATTACGAGAATATTATTCCAAAATCTTCCTCAAAATTCTCAAATCTTCCAACCAAACCCCCATTTCCACCACTCTATAATTCACTCATGTGAAGAAGTAGGGACTAGGGAGTGAGGCAGAGCCCCACCAAACCAAATAGGAGCCGACCCAAACAAACAAACATAGTCCACAGTGTTTCGAGCCGTCTGAAAAAACCCAAGCACCCCATCCAGCTCCGTCCTCTGTCTCATCTTCTCTTCCCCATCCGCGTGCTAAACACCAAATCCTGCAAAAGCAAAAGCTGCTACCCATATTCTCTCACCCATAAACCCTCTTCACACAATCAGAAACTGTTTCACGAAACACCACAGACAATCTTTCTCTCTCTCTCGATTCCTCCCAGAACTTGTACTTCGAATCCTTATCAACCCCACCCCTCTGTCTCACTCTCTCTTCGTGTTCCCCTAAACCCCACCACCATTCCTTGGATTCTTCCTATATATCTGGTCCTTGATTCTGTGATTCTGTTCTATCTCCTCCCAAACTTCGAATTCCCATTTCTCAGCTACCGGAAAAGAAAGAAAGAAAAAGATGCCGTCGGATGCCAGCGATCAACGGCGACCAGCGAAGCTGGGCGCCCCCCCGCCGCCGGAGCCAGAGCATCTCCGGTGCCCGCGCTGTAACTCCACCAACACCAAATTCTGCTACTACAACAACTACAACTTCTCCCAGCCCCGTCACTTCTGCAAGGCCTGCCGCCGCTACTGGACCCACGGCGGCACCCTCCGCGACATCCCCGTCGGCGGGGGCAGCCGGAAGAACGCGAAACGCTCCCGCACCGTCCCGTGTTCGAGTCCCGGCAGTGTGATTACCGGAGCTCACTCCTTCTCCTCCGGCGGCGCCCACGAGTTCCGCCGCATCCACGCCACCTCCGCCGCTCCGGGACCGTTCCTCTTCCCGGTGCAGGGGATTGAGCAGGGCCCGCCGATGCTGAACTTGTGTGGGAGCTTCACGTCGTTGCTGAACACGCATGGGCCTGGTGGGCTTTTGGGGCTGGGTGGGTTTGGGGTTGGGCCGGGGATGGAGGAAGTTGGGTATGGGATCGGGAGGGCGATGTGGCCCTTTCCGGGAGTTGCGGAGGGCGGAGCGGCAGCCGTGTTGGGCGGTGGTACTTGGCAGCAGCTCGGCGGCGGAGAGATTGGTGGCGATACTTTCGGGTTTCCGGATCTTGCAATTTCTGCTCAGGGAAATGTTATGAAATAAAGTTGAATTGTTCGTAGGTCAATCAGTCGGGTCTGCTTAATGTCATCCGATCAAAACTCTTTAATTTCTTCATAGGTTATTTAGTAATGGTTCAAACTTCAAATGTTAAATTAGGTCTTGTAAATCTTAAACCTCTCGGAATTGTTGTATCTTTAGAGTAACTCCTCTCGCTAATCGGAGTTTTGCTTTTAACGGTTATCATTAAACCTCTAAAGTTTGTGTTGGTGAATCACATATTTGCATGCATTACTTCATGTTTTGTTCATTATTGGTTCTTACTTCATGTTTCTCATTTAGGTATGTATTAGCTTTCTTAATATCAAGTATTCTTTTGGTTTCATAAAACTGTCAGTTTTTCTTATTTAATCGTCAAATTTACAAAAAGAACTCTTGTGTGTTTCAAATTATTTCTACTCTTTCATATAGATTTCAACTACATTGTTTTTATTTTACTAATATTATTCCAAATACATATCCATTGTGTTTAATTTTTTGGAACAAAGAAGTACGTAGTATAATATAATCTTGTATGTATCCCTTTGCTAATAACTTGACAATGAATACCTTTAATACTCTATTAAAAATCAATAAACTTTGTACTCTCGTATACATAGAATCTACTTAGCGCAACAACAATTTTACATGATTGGACCATTTAGTCCCAAGCTTTATTTTGTTGCGCCAAGTCAACTGAAATACGTATAGTAGTATCATGCATCATCTCCTTTTTTTTCTTTTTGATTGATTGATTACATTAGTTCTTTGGAACTCAAGAAAACATACGGAGTATTTTATTATTGTTTGTATACTTTTTAGTGTATTTATGAATACTAAAAGAAATGATAAACTTAAGTCACATTTTTTCCAGTGTATAAAAAAAGTATAAATTGCAGTTTTTTTAAACTAAAATTTTAACTTTATCACTTCTCAATTAAATTAATAATTTTATCTTAATCTTCCAAAATCGAGAATGATGTAAATAATACGTAGTAGTTAATAATAATAACAATATTTAAAATGTACTTAACAAAAATAATATTTGGAATGATTGAAATTTTAAAAATTCAGAAATTTAAAAATTCAAAAAAACTTGGTAAATATGTTTTTTATGTGTAAATTAATGAGTTATTAATTTAAAAAAATGCGAATTTACTTTCAAAAACTTGGTAAGTATTAAGAAAACTAAAACAATTATCAAAGTAAATGCATAAAATATTTAATATCCGTGGAATGCACCCATATGAAAGACATTTAGATTATGATAGCCACTAAAAAACTTAACCAATAGTAAAATTCAAATTCACCAGCCACTTCTCTGACCGAACTTAACACACAAGACTAACTTAACACACAAGACTATTTTTTTAGATGTAATATTGATGTCATATGAAATGTAATAAAAAAAATATTTACTGTGATATATTTTTTTGTAAAGATTAGAGTGCAAATGAAAAAGATATGACATTTTAGAAAAAAAATCCCCAATTATTTGCACCAAACTATTATAATTAGTTGTAGAGTTATTTTGAATTGATTAAAACTGAATAGAGTCATGGGTCATGTGTGAAGCTTCAAGGAGCGATTTTAATCTTCAAAACAATTAAAAATTAAAGACGGAGGGTTAAATTAGTCCCAAGGGGTTAGATTAAGTATACGGAGTATGTTATTTGTCCTTAATATAATACTCTGTCTGTTACGTTAAGTTTGTCAACTTTTTTCATTCAATAAATATGGTGACACTCTTTCTTATCTAGCAAATTTTTGTGTTTTTCTACCATCCACATACACCCAAATTACATCGTTTTAAAAAGGATGACATCCATCCTGTAGACTCTCGCAGTACGTATTGATCTGCTTATGAATTCAATTCACAAGATGTCCGACGGACAGTTAACTGAAGGGTATACATAAAATTTTAATCACAAATTAACATACAATGAGTGAGGTTTTTGCCTAGATACTTGAACAGACTGCATTTTTGCACAGTAATCTATCATCACAATTGTCGGATTAAAACCTAAAACTTATCAATTGTTACACTATCTATCGATTGAGCTGTGCTGTTTTTCAAAATCAATTGCACCATTTTTATTTCTTATGTTATGTGTGTCCATTGCTTTAAAACGCGCAATGCACTAGTCGGATGATTGAGGGGCGTTTAGCGCCTATACAACGATTAGGTAGACGATTAGGGCGATTTTTTGACCGACTAGATCGATTAATCCTCTACAATTAGGGATTGCGTAGTGTTTAGTCACCGATTAATCGGTCTAACTAGACCAACTTTTAGAACGGTGTGTGTGTCAAATTGCCAATTTAGACTGCGAATGTAATAGTCCATAGAAAAATGCTCCGTAAGATCATAATAGAATATTAATCGTGGAAAAGTCAAATGGGATGATAATTAGAAAATTTGATAACAAAAGTAGCACTAATGTCAAACATCTTGTGATTTGATGAAAATGTCTTAATCGAGAATGTTGACGTTTAATTGAACAAATCGGACTAGTATATACGGAGTATTAAAGAAATTAAGCAAAAACAACAACACCAATACTTCTAGGGAGACTTCAACAAGTAGGACCAAATCATACTAGTTTTTCAAAATTAAGACTATAGATTAGTTTAAGACTTAAGTGCACTTCTTTTGACCTTTATACCCTTACTTTAAATTCAATTAGCAGACCACAATAAAAGATCGCAGGACACAGGAATGGCCCAGACAGATCGGCATCCTCGTGAAGAAATGCTTTGACGTGGATCTGCAAATTTGCTTGGAGTTGATCCCCAGCTCCTCCAGAAGTGGTGGTTCGTCCTCGAAACTAGTGTCGCCGCCGCCGATAATGGTGAGAGCGAACTGGGGAGTGGAAAAACGAGGTTGAGGCGGCCGCAGCGAACCAGCTTCCAAATCGACTTCACCGTCACCAACGCACCAGATCTATCGATCGGTTTCAAATTCACACTGCTCCGATTGACTTCATCCCACCACCGAAGGTTTGTTCTTGTTCTTCCTCTTCTTCCCCCTCTTCTTCCTCATCATCATCTTCTTCTCCTTCTTCTTTTCTGATTTTGGACATTGATTTCTTCCTACTCAGCAAAACTTTTGAAGAAACCAGATCCAAAATCAAACTTGAAAACACTAGACAATACTTAGACATTAAGTAGTCAGTAACCAGACAATAAGTTCTAATAACAGCTCAATAGCACGCAATATATAGACAGTAAGTAGTCATTAAACAGACAATAAATTCTGATAATAGCTCAACAGCACAGCAGGTAACGTGAAACAATATATATGTACAATTCACTATATCTAATGATTGATCCACATCGAGAGGTTGTTGAAAACTCCACAATGAAGCAATATAGGTAATCTAGCACTCTGTAAAATTGTCAACAACCATTAATGGTTCCCTAGAATGCTTCTATTTGAATTCTGGAAATTGGAGTCTCGATAGAGCTGAATTTGTTGATTCCCAAGCAGTACACTCCGAATTCATATGCAGGTGTCGAGCGTGGAACCATGAAAACATTCCACGAGAATGTTGAAGGAAGAAGGCTCGAGCGTAAATCTTCCGATCGTTAGCGTTGCGTCGTTTTAATTTGGGGGAGATCTAATAAATAGCTGAAGGGGTAAAAATAGAAATTTAAAATCAAGTTTCCCCAAATACTACTGAATAAGTCACACGTACTGAAGAAACAGTTATATGTCTTATTTTTGTAAAATCCGTATGAATTGATCCTACACGGAGCAATTTTCTCATACTTCTATGCGTTACGTACCCAAGTTGATTGTTGTATGGTAAGCCAAATGACTATTAGCTCAGTCGGGAAACATCACTTTTGAATCATTAGCGGCGGCGGCTAGGGAACAACAACCGTGTAGTTGTTCGACTCCTAATCCAACAAAAACCTTAACCGTGCATGAAAGTTGCTCATAATAAATGGTTCATTGTCACTCAATATTATGTACTTGACGTCGTACAAATTTATATTGAATGGAACTAGGCCTGTCAATGGGTCGGGTCTAGACCCGGACCCGACCCAGACCCAGTTGTTTTTAACGGGTATGGGTCCTTATTTTATTCCGTTTACCCGGACCCGAACCCGGACCCGTTAGTACTTTTAATAAACGGGTCGGGTATGGTACTTATGATTCCGACCCGTTAAGGACCCGGACCCGTTTAAAATTTCTTATTAGTATTTATACACACACTAATACATAAAGAGATTAGTTATAATACTTCAAATAAAAATACAAAGTAATATATATAAAGTGATAAGTTTTAATTCTTTGATTAAAAAGAAACAAATTAATACTCCCTCCGTCCCTAATTTATCTTCCAAATAGGTTTGGCACAGAGTTTAAGATAGTGGGTATTGTGTGGTGGAGAGTTGTGCAGAGGAGAGAGAAATGTGTAAGAATTTTTGTGAACCACAAATTCTTTTCCAAAAAGGGAAAGTGGAAGTTTTAATTGGGACGGACGAAAAAGGAAAGTTGGAAGTTTATTTAGGGACGGAGGGAGTACATACCTAATGTATAAGTGATAATATAATAGTACGTAGTATATAATATGCTTTTAGTCCAAAAGAACTTTTTGTGACCTAATTTCTAGTCTAATATACGAGCTTTCTGTGGGAGAGAAAGAGACACAAAGTGCGGAATTGTACGCATCTTTTTTTTTTCTATGAATAAAAGTACTAATTTTCTATGATAAACCTTGATTTTTTTTGAAAAGTGAAGATATATTTTGCTTTTAAATTTGTGCGCTTTGATTTACATTTCATATACATGTTTTACTATTTTTAAAAAATTATATAATGTTCTGTCAAAAAAAAGTTATATAATGTTGTGCATATGATACTTGGCGGGTCTACCCGACCCGGTTCCGAGACCCGTTGGGTCCGGGTCCGGGTCCAAATTTTTAGACCCGCCGGGTAAACGGGTCGGGTCCGGGTCCTTTATTTACTTAGCGGGTCCGGGTCTGGAACACTACGTTCCGACCCGGACCCGACCCATTGACAGGTCTAAATGGAACTATGGAAGTATAAGTTATACGGAGTACTTCCTACGTAGTAATACTTCGTATTACTTAATGCTAAGATTATCTCAAACTCAATTGGGTAAAGTTTGTACAATTCTAAATTATTCTTACTTTGTCCTCACTATCAATTCGATATCAATCATAAAAATTCATTTTC